AATTGATTTCATAACGTTCCTAAGTTGACATAATTGAAGCATAATTTGGTGTAGTCTTCTCATTGATGAGTTGTTGTAGTAGACGATCAATTAGAGTATCTCCAAATCTTTGATTTCTTCAGTAGCCTTTATCATCCTTAATTTGTTAGAGCTTCCTCGATTAGAGAGATTTGGTAATGGTGATAAAATCATTATGATTAGGCAGCAGACTTAGCAAAGCTTCTACTTCTTCATCTTTGTTAGCATTCTAACTTTAATTCAATTTAGGCTCAACAAAGTTTTCCATAAGATAGTTGCATACTTAGTCACATTAGTAGTACACTCAATGAGTTTGTTATCATCAAAACACATAAGATCAATATAGAGGTTTTGGGAAACATGCTCCCAATTAAACATAGACGCCAAATACTTCTAACCTCCTTAGTAATGACATTGCCAAAGTCAAACAAGTCTATAGCTTGATCATCATTTTCTTACATCATTTGGGTAAACTTCCTTTTCTAGATCGTTTACATTTTGCTGATTGTCGCTCATCTTCACAGTTAAATAAAAACAAAGAAACTTAAGGACTAAAAGATAGAAAATGACTCCATACAAGAGAGAAAAACCTAGAAATAGGGAGGAAACCCTAGAAAGGGTAAGACTTACCTAATGGGCACGACTCCACAAAAACATGAGTACACCAAAAGCACAGAGCAAGCATTATCCCAAAAAAGTACAAAACAACAACACAACAAAGGAAGAAACAATGACCAAGGTGTAACTTGAAACTCAAATGAGTGATAGGATAAAGCTAAAGAGGAGACTTATCTCCTTCTAGACTTAAATGTATGCCTTCCATTTTGTTCTTGAGGATTAATCTTTTTTTCCATGCCTAGTGATGTCAAATGTTGAAGATCAAATATTTGAATTAATGGCTAAACCATTTGGTAGAGATCCATTATTGTCTTGACCTATTAGTTTTAGAGTGTCTTGTCCTACCAATTGGGTCAAGCTAATGTTAGATAGTGTATGCCCTTAGCTCTAACCAGATTGGTGTATATAAACATTTATTAATAAATGAATAAAGTACATTATTGTTTCATGTTTTTATTGGTGTGTTTTTGTGAATTACTCCTTAAAGTAAACACTTATGAGACTATTTAGTTTAGAATGATCTTAGCCATTGGATAGGCTTGAGGAGTTTATCCTGACAAGGTTGACACTGGTGTGCTACCGAACTGGTGGAGCAGTTTGTCTCAGTTGTTAGGGTTAGACAATAAGGACAACCAATGGGTTTTAGAAGAAACGTTAAAGCCAGACCAATTTCTAGTTATGCCTTGGACCTTGGAGATAGATGGCCAAAACTGGAAAGTTACATTTAACGCTACATTAGATTTTGATACTACACTAGGTTTTGGACTGAGTTGTCTTTGATATTCCAACCTATAAGATCCATTAAGGGTTAAATACTTGGGCATTTTGGGATAATTTGGGAAATTACCTGAGTAGGTGGAATGATAGGATTGATAGACAAAGTGAATATTAGGGTTTACACTCATTAATGGAAACCTAAATTACTGGTAGTGGATTTCAACTATATTTGAAATCTAATTTGCAAAATGTATATATATGTTATATTACTATTTTATGAAGGAGGTTTGCAAAGGTTTTAATCCCAGGATCCATTTGAGTAGAGAGTGTGACACTACATTTCGCAGTCAGGGAAGAGGTCATTCATTCATTGCGGGTAGTGTTTTGATAATTATGGGTCGAGGGGTTAGGTGTAAGAGACCATTATAGCGCTAATTATGTGATGGGTTTTATCTTTCATAAGGTGGTTGAACCCAAGAATCATTTATGTGTAAACGTTGGGCCCAAACTGAACCCAAGTTGATTGGGTCAAGAATTCACTACCCTTGAGCGGTGAATTCAACCTAACCTCTTTCAGAGGTGGGGCCAAACCCTTATGAACTTGTGTGAGACCTTTGTGGGTTCCATGCCATACAATATTCAGACCCAAAGTGGCCATGCAACATCTTGGGATGTGAACCATTAAAGAAAATGGTCTTAAGGCCCATTTCTAATATGATTAGTTAAGAGATCACATGACAACTTTGTCATGTGATTTATGTTGAAAATGGGTATGGATCTAGGCATGGAGTACCTATTCTCGTAAGAAGAAAATGATTATCAATTAAATATAAAGTCCTGATCCAATTTTGATTTGGATCAACTCTTAATCAGATTAGGAGAATGCTCTATATAAGGGACTAAGAGAAGAGGGGTGAATTCACTAATTTTCTTCACTCTCTTGCTATCTTCTCTTCTCCCTTGCCTCTTAGAAGCTCTACTTTGACCCAGCTATGATAGGGGTGGATTTTCATCGGTTATCCACTATGTTTTTGCAAGAAAAAAAACATAGATATTAGGTTCACACACCCACATTGATCCAAGCAAGTTGGGGATTGGGTTGCTGAATTGGCTTCATCTACACACTGCACAATTTTTAGTTGGAGGCCGATTTTGGAACTGATGTTGGACATGAACTACCACTCTGGGAGCTACACATTGTGGTTTATGTATCATATTTAATCAATTTTAATTTGGTTTTCAAATCTAGTCTAGTTCAATGTAAGTTCAATCATTAAATTTTAGATTTCAAAATTACTGGGAAATTGGTTCCCAGGTGGGGTTAGAAAAATTTTAAAAAAATTGACTAGCTACTAAACCTGGTTCAGCCATGTTTAATTTGATTTCTAACCCTTCCAATAACTAAATCCATTATTCTTGAATGTTAGTGATGATGGATTGTACACTAGACAAAATATTGGAGTGGGTACTTGTTATTGATGATGAATGACAAAAATTTGGTAGCCATTTGGGTGGGAACCCTTCTATTGAATGATTGACTGACAACCAATTGTGAGACCCACCTTGGAAAGCTAGAAGCTGATATGCTTTATCCCTCCTAAATGAGTTCTTATTGGATGAGCTCTTGGAGTGATTGGTTTATCCTTGAAAAAAAAAAGCTAAAGCTCTAGGTTTTGAGGAAGGTCAAAGACTAGGAAAGGAACTTGGTTTCTCTTCAATTATTATTGAAGGTGATGCAAACTCTATAGGTGATCTCCTATTGGCTCCTGCCTAGGAGCTCAAACTCCTTTGGCATCTTTATCTTGTCACTGTTGAACAAAAGAGTATAATGTGTGCCTTTCACGAATTGATTAGTTCCTTTGTTCCATGTTGCTCTAACATGGTTTTACATATCTGTGTTCTAAGTTTATGTTATAAGAAAAGGTTTATCACAACATGGCCTCTCTAGATTTTAGGTTTCGTTTGTCATATCATTCAAAGGGACTTTTATACCAAGTATAATGAATAAAATTTTTGCCTCTTAGGTATTGATACACTTGAATCAAACTTTAATTGAATAGTCCAGGCTTGAATTTAATTAGGCTCGGTTTCAGTTCAATTCAAATCTTAGGCTAAATTTGATTAATTTTTTGAGATCGAATTCACAAGCCTGGTTCGATTATATATAATATTTGTACTATATATTATAAAAATATTATGTATATGTTTTAAAATATAAAAGTATATCAGTTTTTTGAACTTGAAATTATTGAATGTTTGGTCAAACCTAACACAAATAGGGAAATAGGGTTCTAATTGAACTCAAACTCAAAGGTAGAGTTGTATTTTAGTCAAATCGAGCCAAGATATGTTGCAATTTAATTTGGCTTGACCCGATTGCACCCTAACTCCTGGGCATTGAAAAAATCAATATGATTTTGTTTTTTGAAAACAAAAACAAATGCTCCATACAACCCACCAAGTGCTCATTTGGGAAGCTGAAGTGTAATGGCTTCTATCTTTTTTCTGAGGTGGGTCCACACGGACAACCCTATACGCTATGTTTGGCAAAAAAGCATGGACAGCCCGAGTGAAGAGCTGTCTTCTTCGATCTCTTTGAATAGCTTGTTTGGAGTGCTTCAAATCAATTGAACCAGCTTGGTTGAATGAATGCTCAGCTAAACCCTTTTGTTAAGTGCCTATTTGGGAGGACTTTCAAACAAGGGCTTCTGGTTTTATGAGGTGGGTCCCATGTAGACAGTCCTATAAGGTATATTTGGTGAAAAATGTGGAATACACATATGAAAATGAAGGGCTGTCACCTTCAATCTTTTTGAGTAGCTTATGGGAGCACTTCAAATCGATTTGAACTAGCTTAGCTGAATGTTTGGGAGGGCTTTCACATAGTGGGCTCCCAGTTTTGTGAAGTGGGCTCCCACGTAAACAACCTCTAATCCATGTTTGATGAAAATCCCCGATAACCCAAAAAAGACTCTAAAAGCCAAAAACATGACTTTCCACGAACCTTATTTTACTAGCTTCTATAGAACAACTTTGTGAAAACAACTCAATCAAAACATTAGCCCTCCCAAACAAGCCCTAACTAAATAGGTGTGTTATGTGGGTTGGGTTAGAAATATATATTTCAATAAATTTATGCCGTTTAACATTCAACTCAAGCCTATCTTCATACATACTGCACTTTATAATTCTATGTTTATTTGGCTTGACATAGCAAGAAAACTCTTAAATATTACTTTCTTTCCGGTATCTCTCTTATTTTATACTCTATTATATTATCAACCAATCAGGTCTAGTCTAGAATGAGTTCACATCTCCACCCTGCTATCATCGGGAGATATTCCCAATACACGGCGGAAATGTGCTGTGAGGCGGAGATGTGATGTCGTATAGAGTTGGACACTTGGACATAATTCCTCAACTTCTAGTATCAATGGACCCAAGTTTTTAATTAGACCGATTTTGCTGAGGAACCTGGTGGTCTATCCAGACCGTCCAACACCTGGAGCAGCCGAGCAACTGATCACCAAAATCCAACGGCTAATACTTCGATTCGGCACTAAATAACTTGACCCAATAAGTCTATAACACATCGCATGGCAGCTAAAAAGATTCAGACTCCATGCATGTCTTCCACGTGCATTCGGCAGTGGCACTGTCATAACCTTACAGTCCGGCCGGCCCAACTCGTCCACTTCTCTCTCTCTCACCACCTTGCTCAGAACTGAGATCCATCGTCCTCCAACGCCTACGTCCGCTCAATACGAAACACCCGTTAACACAAGTTCATTAACAAACAAAGAAACAAAACATCACAAAAACCCGAAACCGTTTCGTTTCTTCGTCTCTTTTCCTTCTCTCTTCATTCAATTGCAGAGTTAAAACGAAACAAAGACAACTAGAGAGAACCACAGAGAGAGAGAGAGGTAAATTAATGGCGCTGACGAGAAAACGGTCGATGCGTTATATTTCGTCAATCTCTGAACCGACTACGACACCCATGTCAATGTCTTCCTCCTTTTCTTCTTCGCTCGCGTCTTCTTCTCAGAAGATTTATCGGATTCTATCTTCCCTCCAAATCCCTCCCTAAATTTAGCTTGTAATCATTATCCTATAATAAATTAGCAAAATCCCAATCCCCCTTCTAAATTTAGCACAATTCTTTAATTTCGTTCTCCCTCCCAGGCTCTCCATTCTTCTCTCTTTCTCTGGGTTCTTAGCTTAGGTTAGTTGAGTTGGTCAGGTTTCCAGGGTCTTTTTTTCGATGCAGAGTGGTGCTGCAGAGAATGAAGTTAGGGTTAAAAGTTCTGCCGCTTCGTCCTCTCATCCTGCAAACCAAACTCCTTCAGCCGCTGCTTCTCCTTCTTCTGCTGGTTATGTTACTTCGGGTGTTAGTTCTGCGATTCCATCCGGTCCGGGTTTTACTTATGATGGTGTTCATGCTGAAGAGAAACCGAAGATCAATGGAGTTGGAAAACGGATGATTGATGAAGGGATGGAGAGAGGAAAGCTCTTCACATCGACAATTCCGGTACCTAGCTTAATTTCTGTTACTGCGGAGACGGCGGAGGCTTGTTCCATGAACTTTGCTCATTGCTATGGTGTTGGAGGAGGGGCTGAAGAGGACGCCAGACTTGAACGGTTTCTGAAACTACATCAGGGTCCCATGGCTCCGGCGGTGGCTACTGTTCCTGTGCTACAATCTCAACCAAGTGAGTGACATTTTACTTTTCTGTTTAAGTTTGAACTAAAGATGTATGCTACCATTGTTATCTTAAACTTACTCTTGTAGTAATTTATTTGGTGCTCGATTCGTGGAAGAAGAAAAAAAAAACACACTATTCTTTTATCTTTAGGTTTGAACAAGTGTTGTCACGACCAAGCAGTTTGAATAATTATTTCTACTTCAAATTCTAGCTGATCTTGATACTGGCAAAACCTATCAATTTTGACCTCTTATGGCTTTGTCTTAGTGGACAACGTATTCTCAAATCGTTTACATGTTGAGATCCTTGGCTATAGTTCTACGATGAATTCCTAGAAAGAAGGCTTTTGCCTGAAATGGTCTTTCCATATGTGGACAGGGTACTGGGGCTGAGATAGAGAGCATTTTTGGACCATCGCCTAAGCTGCCACATCTGAGATTCCTAGTTTGCATTATCTTATGAATTTGACTTAATTCAAGAAATCCTTATGCAAATATTTTGGATTGTCCACTTGAATCTTTTTTATCATCCGTCTCCATCAAGAGTCACAATTTCTGTTGAATAGCAGCTTGCAAGTTCTAGTTCTTTTTTCATTTTGTAGTAGATTGTGAATTTCATTAAGAGGAGGGAGAGATTCTTTCAACCTAGAAAGAATCTTGGTATTCCCATCCCCTTCTTTGATCCATTTATGCCTAGATTTTTGCCTCCAAGATATCTCTTCCTTCAACAGGACCTCTTCCAAATCTTTCTTTAACTTCCATCTCAATTCTTTTTCTTGTGCATTCATGGTCCTTTGATGTTCCTTTGAATCTAAGTCCTCAATTTGGGCTGACAATCTGGCTTTTAGCTCTTCCAACCTGTCAAATTCCTCTCTGTTCCAATCTTTTATTTTGGATCTCAGACTTTTTAATTTCTCGTGGAATCTAACCCATTTCCATTTCACTCCCCTAATCTCTTCTTTCCACCACTCCTCAACTTTATGCACAAAGTTCGGGTGTGTCAACCACATGTTCTCGAACCTAAAGGGTTTAGGTCCAAGCCCAAAGGTCTCTTGGCCTAGCTCTATGGGACAGTGATATGAGGTAACTCTAGGTAGAGCTTTAGCCACCAAACCCCTCCAGTGTGCTTCCCAACTTTCATTGAAAAGGAATCTGTCTAGTTTTGAATAAGATGGATTCTCCTGGAAATTGGACCAAGTGAAGTTGGCCTGTAGCATAGGGAACTCCTTTAGATTACAAACGTTGATAAATTCATTGAACCTCCTCATGCTATTTGTGATAGATTGTTGGGGATTGTTTGACTCATTTAGAAACCTTATTACATTTGAAATCTCCACCCAAGCACCAAGGGCCTTACCATACTCCTTGAATTCCATAGAGCTCTTCCCATAGTTCATTCCACTCTCTGTAATTATTTGGCCCATACACATTGGTTAACACCCGTGTGAAGCCATCCTCCACCATCCTGGACTTTAAGGATACAGAAAAATTACCTATCAGCTCCTCTAATGCTTCTACCACATCCTCTCTCTAAATAGTAATTATCCCCCTAGAGGCTCCCCAAGAGGGAGTTGAGCACCAACTCATTCATCTTGCTTTCCACACGCTTCTAACCCATCTTTTATCTAGATCTGCTAGTTTGGTTTCCTGTATCAATACAATGTCGGGCCTTTCCTTCTTCAACAGATCTTTTATCACCCTCCTTTTTCTCGCACTTCCTAGACCCCTCACATTCCAGCTAATGATCTTCATCAACTCGGTTGTAGAATGAGACCCTCCAAACCATCCTTTTTCCTTCACTTTAGAGCCTTCCTCCTCTCCCGTCTTCCACTAAATTCTAAGTCTCCTTCTATGTCTGAAATTAGTCTTTCTACCTCGGACCTTTTCTTTTTCTTTTTCCTTTTGCTTTTGTTAGTTGTTTCTTTTCCTGACATCACATATTTACCTCTTCCTTTCTTGTCACAACAATTGCTCCCTAGGGGTTCTGGTTTTTTTGGTGTTACCTCCAAGAACCCCTCTGTCTGTTTATATTCTTCCAACAAAACATAACCACTTCCTCCACCTGTCTTTTTTCTAACAAAGAAACTTTTTCCTCTATTTCTAACATCACCCTTTCAACTTCTACTCCTCCACCTCCGGCTGTTCTCTCCAACTGTGATGCCAAGGTACTTGTTTCAGGCACAATACCCTGATTCGTAACAAAACCCGAATGGACAAACATATCTGGCCTGATAGGAGAGGATGGTCAACAAGTTATGTTGGGATATCAGTAATAGAATTCTGACCAAAGCTCCTTCCCTCTGTCTAATTTGGTTGTTGGGGTAAACTTGGTTCAATCAAAACCTTTTCAATCCCTACAGCTGAAGAAGGCTTTGGTGCGTTTTCCTTTTTGGGTGTTTTCTTGTAAACCTTCAGAGAAGAATCCTGCCCCTCCAAACCGAAACTCTTTACCTGCCTATTTTCTTATGAATTTGTTTGCAAGAATAGATGTACCCTGGTCATCCTTTAAAACTGCTGCTAAGTTCCCCTCATCCTTGTGTGGCGCATCAGCTGTTGAAATCTTTAACTTTTCAGCCTTGTCTTCCACCTTATTCTGCTCCTCCCCTTTTCCACATCCTTCCGAAACACATATACTGATCGTGTTGCAGATTTAACTGAATCTTGCAGATTTACACCTTCTATACTGATCGTGTTGTCTGTGTCTGAGTCAGAATCACTCTCTCAGCTTCAGTTGACAGCTCTGCTTCAAGGTTTTCAAGGTCGCGCTGTCGAATTGACCTTGGATTGCGATGATCTTTGGAAAGTTGCGACAGATTTTCCGAAGGAACCCATTGTAGCAAACCTGTTCTCTGGTTTGACTTCTTCGAAGCCTTAGAAGAGCTCGATGGGGATGATGCTAGACGATTAAACTTGTCTAGCATCAATCCTTCCTCAGCCAGGGTTTTAAAGACTCATGTGATAACTCAAGACATGGGCCAGTCACGTGAGTTTTTAAAGAGCCGCCCCCTTCGGCTTGACCCGATGGCTCAACCCTCTCAATAACCGGTTCAAAATCCTTGGCCAGACTGGTTTTTCCTTTTGGAAATGAATGGTCAAGCTTGTTCGAATTTTTGGCGCCAGAAACTAACACCTGAGCAAAGGATCTTTTTGCTGTCAGTCCCTTGTAACCCACGTATTTGACCTTCCTCACTGCCCATATATTTTGGATAGTCGAAGGTTTGCTTGCCTATTTTAATGAAACTTTCCATCTTCTTCTGATTCTCCAATCCTAGGCAGCCGTGCAGGGCCTATTCTTCCACCCGTACATCTTCCTGTCTGGCCTCTAACCACAGAGAAACTTCAATGGAGGAAGCTAACCAAACCTGTAAAGACAGTCCTTCAACCTGAAGAGTAATCTTCCTAGGTATCTCCTCTGGTTTGACTCCATTTAACAGAAAAGCAGCATATCTCAAATCTCCCCAGAACTCCCCCACCAGACAAGCTCCACATAATAAGGCAATGGAGACTGCTACATCATGTTTCCACAGGTGGAACGGCAACCCAATCACCCTGACTATCACTCCATCTTCAATGGCAAAATATTTCGAATTGGATGAAGAGGACCATCTATACAAAGTAAAGATCTCCTTGTCCTCTTGAATGCTTAGAGCCTCAACTTCCATCATGTTTTGAAGAGAATCAAGCACTGCCTTCATACTGTCAAAAGGGGTTAAAATAAATGTCTTCCTCAGTCCCAACTTACTAATCTACATGTCTGCAATCTTCCTCCAACCCTTAATCTGTTTTTTAGCTTCAACCACTAACATATTGTTCCAGTGATTTTTGCTGAAATTTACGTTCAGTAATGGATTTCTGTTGCTGTTTGCCATGGCTAGAAAATCCTGGTTAAGAGTCACTCCCTCCATCGATGGTGAGTTTCCAACAAATAATCCCTCAACTACTTCTGCAGCTTCCACCATCTCCTTCATCTCTGGGTTCCTTCGATCTATAAAGCCAGTCAAGATCTCAGTCACTCCTCGCCATCCTTTACTGTTTTTTCTGGCAGGGAAGCAGACCATTTGCTTCCTTTGTCAAAGAACTCTGAAAGAGATATGAATAAACCTTTTGCATTTTGTATACTTTTCACCACATCCTGCCAAACTTTGTGTTATTTTCCTTCCAGCATGTCTGTTTTCCTTTTGTTGCTGCTTCTTGCAAAAAATCCTTCAGCCATTCGATTATCTCCAAGCCTTCCACCAGAACTGTAGCTTTGCAGACATAAATAATAGTGAAGAGGGTGGCCAGCATTATTGCTCTCTTTTCTCTCTCAAATCTCTTCTCTTCCTTCTCTCCTTTATTCTCTTTTTCTTCAAGAAATATTCTTTTCTTTTACAGATTTTATTTCAGCACCTTTCTACTGTTAGAAATCTAGATTTGCAGAATGAAGCAGGAAAAATAGGCAAATTGGTTGGTAAAATCTCTCTCTGTAGGACATCTGACTTGGGATCAAATTCTTTCAGCAATTTAGCAACAAAGAAGTAACCATTGATCACTTACCTGTCAACAAAGTAAAAAATTGATGAATTTGATGCTTGTTCTTCCCGTGGATTACCATGTAATATTGTGACTAACAGAAGCTTAGAAGGGTCACTTCTAACTCCTAGTCAACCATCTAATTCTTCTCTACTTGAATATATTCTCCTTCATGTCCTTTTATCTTTGGTGACATTTGTATCTTGTATAACCAGCTGATGCTTTTCAGACTACCCACTTTACTGTTGTATATTAAAACATGAATTATTAGCATGGTAATGCCCTTGACTCTGATTATGAAACTTCATCTAATGTCTCATCATATAAGTATTTTTTTCCTTTTTTGGAATATGAATATATTAGTGTAATCAAATTTTCTTTCTTTTAGGTTTTGTTCATCTTGGGACTTATTTCAATCATGCAGGGTCTGAGCTTACCACTGTATTTCCTGGAATAAATAATTCATGGAGTCCACAATCTGTAGGAAGTCCATATCAGTTTCAGTTCTTTCCATATAGCAATATGTGCATTTCAAGTGCTGGAGCACCAAATTTTAAGCAGAAGGTTGAGGTTTCTGGGAGCTCTCAAAATCCCTCTCATATGGAAAGCTTTCTTGGCCATATTGCAAGTAGTTTTTATCAAGACGCAGGTACCATTTATCAAATAAAATTTAGTCATTGGATAATTTATTAAGGAACATAATGATTTAATCAATTGAAAAGGTCCCTTGACCATATTTCATGAATGATAACCATATAGGATAGTAGTGTTTCCTATACATGATGTGATTTGCTGCCATGTGGGATGTAGGAAAGCAACCATGTGCAGCAGGATACCATACCATGTCATATGTAGGAATTCCTAATATATTGGTTTGCTACCTGTCCTCTTAAAACATAGATGGTAGAACGATATTGTATTGCTACATTTTCTATAATGCTACATGTTCACATATATGGTTGCATGCTTGGAGATCTGGATCATCCAATCAATGTATCCTACTAAGATGACTCTCCAAAGTCTGAAATGATTATATTACAATTATCATCTAGAAAGATGCCATGTTTAACATAATGTTAAGAGCATCTCTTAATATTAATTTATTGATGTACTTATTTAGTTTTTATTAGCAGTAGTCCTTTCTCCTAGAGTGGGGAGAGGAAAAATGAGAAAGCTGACCACCTCTTATTGGTTAAGATTATAGATCCCTCTTCCTATCCACCATCAAAGAGAAGATGAAAGGGTAGAAATTGGTTAGAGTCCGACTACCATTTCCAACCTTGCTTTAGTCATAACAAACCAAAAGGGGATTGTGACTTCACCACCATTAAGCTCAAAGTTAATTTGGAAGGAGAAATTGTTGCCCAAGTAGCCTACCCAAGAGGGGGGGGGGATTGAGTTCTACAAGGTTTACTCCCCAAATAATGCCTTTTCAAACTTGAGTGCTATGCAAAGATAACTGAGTGCAATGATACAAAGTGCTTGTGTGATAAAGATAGTAGTGTGTAGAGTGAGTATAACCAAATTTAAAGAATGTTAGGAACCTGCCTAACTCAGGGCTCTTTGAGGGAGCCAACCTCCTGAATTCGTTGGAAGGAGAGAGAGAGAGAGAGAGAGAGAGAGAGATTAATGCCGAAAGAATTCCTGTCCTATTTCTCTTTGTGCTTCACTACTTATACTGTTTACAATCTTTGATTTCTTTCTGTTATAGCTATTGCAAGTGGACGATTAGTTGTGCTGATGTGGCATCCTCTTGTAAAACTGATTAGCTGCTTTCTGTTGGTCTGTTCCAGCAGTCTTTACAGTCCCCCCCTCCTTTAGAGCGACCTTGTCCTCAAGGTCTAATGTGGGAAAATTTGATTGCAGATCTAAGTAGGATTCCCATGTTGCATCCTCTGCTGGGAGTTTAGACCAAACAGCTAATGCTTCTGGTATGACTCTTCCACTACGACGCACCCATCTGAAATCAATGATGCGGGCTGGCTCAGTCTGCACTTGTCCTTCATCTGAAAACGTGGGAAGGGTCGGACTTGTAATGACTCCTGGCTTCGGCCCTTTCTTCAGTAAGGAGATATGGAATACAGGGGGCAGTTTTGATGTTGCTGGAAGGTCCAGCTTGTAGGCCACTGACCCTATTCTCTCAAGGATTTTAAATGGCCCAAAATAGCGTGGGCTGAGTTTGTTCCACTGTCGGCTTGCAACTGAAATCTGTCTGAAAGGTTGTAATTTGAGAAACACCCAATCACCGACTTCATATTGGACATTCTTGTGATGTTTATCATAGGTGTGCTTCATCCATTGCCGTGCCTGTAAGAGATGATGTCTCAATTCCTTGAACACTTCATCCCGTTGCGTCAGCTGTTCTTCTAAGGCCGCTACTGTGGTGGTCCCTTTTTCATAAGGAAGTAGAGGGGGAGGGTCCCGACCATATAGAGCTCTGAAGGGTGTCATCCCAGCGGCGCTATGGAAAGTGGTGTTGTACCACCATTCAGCCCAGTGGATCCACTTCACCCATTGTCTTGGCCGATCTCCC